TATATATATAATCACCTGTTAAAATGAACCCAACTGACTTATTTATATGGAAAAATGACAGTTTTAAATTCACTTTCTCTAATTTTGATTTGTAAATCATTTTGGATAAGTGTAACATATAATATGGTGTTCATAAGCACTTTATAAATTGTAATTATTTAAATGAATAAATTAACTGTCTAACACAATTAACACTTATAGGAGAATCCATATTTGTTTTAGGACCCCCACCCCCTCCTCTGGAGCTGCACCACATTATAAGACTTAAGCTCTTGTGATGAAAGACACAAACAAACAAACAAACAAACAAACAAACAAACAAACAAACAAACAAACAAACAAACAAACACATAAATGCACCTTTGTCTGTCAAAGTATTAAAATAAAGTGCAGAGAGGATTCTCTGTGTCTCAGTGTCTCACAGACTTCGGGCAGGAGTCAACTCTGAAAGGCAAAAAGGAAACTTTAATCAACAAATAAACTAAAATCAGATAAGGATGAGGGCGCGTGTTTTTTTTWWTTTKKTTKKTTKKTTKTTTTTTACCTTCTCCTGCACCTCGGACACACGTGGCCCCACACGGTCTGCACCGCGGCCCCCCTCAGGGCCGGGCTCCCCCACAGGTACACGGACGGGGTGCAGACGGCGTTGAAGCGGGCCAGGATGGCGAACAGGTTGGTGGCCTCATTCCTGAAGCTCAGCCCGCCTCCCACCACCAGCCTGATGATGATGTTGACAAAAGACGGACTCCACAGGAGCAGGAAGCTCATCACCACGAAGATGATGATCTTCAGGGACTCCTTCTTTCCGTCTCGCTCCGGGCCGGGGGGCTCCCTGTCCAACTGGTACCGGGCCACCACGTACAGTTTGATGGTCATCACCACCTTGGTGAACACGACCAGCTGGAGGAAGACGATGCTGAAGACGTAGATCTGGATGGCTTTGGACAGGGGCAGCAGGTTCCGGACCAGCAGGTGGGTGAAGTTGTAGAGCCAGCAGAAGATGTTGATGCTGATGATGAACTCTCTGCTGACGAAGCGGCTGTAAATGAAAGGATGACAAACCGCGAAGTACCTGTCGAACTGCGCAAACAGGAAGACTAAGATGTTGACCCCCAGCAGAGACGACAGCACGTTATAGGTACCGTTCCTGGACGGGTAGTTCTCCTGGACGTCGAACAGACACAGGTAGAAGACGGAGAGCCCGGTCAGGGTGTCGCAGATGCTGGTGTTCAGCATGAAGATGAAGCGGTTCTGGAGGCGCAGCGTCCCGCTGGCACAGATGCTGACCACCACCGTGCCAGCGACCAGAACCGTGGTTATGGCGAATAAAATGTGGAAGATGAAGATGACAAAGTCCACGGGGCTGCTGAAGTCCACCGACAGGGGGACCCCTCCTGCTGCAGAGCCYGTCATGTTGGGCAGGAGCATCTTTAATGGCGCACAAACCAGAGACACTGGTTTAAATATGCTGTCAGGTCCCCGAAGACCTGTCTGATTTCAGCATGTTTACTTTGCAACAGCTTTTTGTTCTATGGCTTTCTCGTGATGATGCGGTTTTTATTTTTTAAATTTTGCACGTTAATAATATGTCAATCACGGCTCACGGAGCTATCCAGTTCTGAAATCATCACTTTTGCAGACCTGTTTTTAATCAACAGGTATGTCTGTTTATTTTTCCTTTCCCAATCTCCTCTGTGTTAAAATATTAATTTGTAAATCAAGTACCTGTTTATTTAATAGACCTCTGGGCCTCATGTATGAACAGTGCTTATGCACAAAACTTTTCATAGTGTCATGTTCCATATGGAAAAGAACGGTGCGTAAAAGTGTGCATACATTTCCGTAACCTTTTGGCTTGCCGTAAAAATGTGTTTACTTCCAGAAAAATSATCAAAAAGCCCAAGTCCAATGTAAACTGTAAAGTTTAATTTGTTTTGTCTATAAATGTAAACATGCATCCAAAACAGAACGCTTGCGAGGCGCACGGAAAGCTGAGGCGCCTCGGCCTGGATGAGACCAAAAACGTGCGAAGGGTTGACATAAGTGTGGTTATTGACGGGTTTTTGTAATTCTGATTGTCGTG